CAGACACCAACAGAAAAGGGTCCCAGAAGCCTGGGAGGGGAGGAAGGCCAAGTGGACTTGGGGCCCCTGTCATTGAACTCCTAAACGCCCCTTCATAGTTCTGGGCCCCAGAGGGTCAGGGAAAGAGATAAGTTTAGGGCCCGTGTAGGGAGGCCTCTCTCCTGCCCGAGCATAGAGTCCATTTTCGACAAAGACGAAACTGCTTCGAGCAGAGGCTGACAGAGGTGTCCTGGGGGCAGGGTGGTGTGCTGTGTGGGTGGGGAGCGGCACCCACTCAGACAGTGGCTGGGGTGGGAGGACCGTGTCCAGAGCTGTTGGGCAGTAGTTGGTGGCAACGGTGGCATAGGGGATGTGGAGAGAGGCCAGGGGGGCTTGGCTGGCTGCCTGCAGGGGTGATGGGGAAAGAAGCCCAAGTGAGGTTCCACCTCACGGCCCCCAGATCCAACCCACTCTGTTCCCTGCTCCAAAACGATCCCCGTCTTTACCCTTGTTCGTGTCTGTGCCTGAGGGCTGCTGAGAGATGACTGAAGCTTCATGACAGACCTGGGAGAAAGGAGGGTCAGAAGAAAACCATGTGGCTAACCCAGCGCTATGGGGATTTAGACTGGGCTTGGCCAGGGCTGTGTCTTACCAGTGTCTCTGTCGATGAAGTAGGTGTAGGAGGTAGATGCAGCCAAAGAGGAGGACCCCTGAGACCCCCAAGATCCCGGCCAAGTCTGCCCGTAGAATAGAGGCTGGAGTAGGGGCAGGGAGCCCTGTGCACAGATAAAGACTTACCAGATAGCGGCCAGTGCCCCGAGGCCTTCCCTACCCTCCCTGGGCACAGCTCGTTATCAGCCCCACCTTGGTCTGAGTCAAGGAGGTGGTTACTACAGGCCTCCTGGGAGCCCTCAGGGAAGGAAGTAAACTTGCAGCAGAAGGTGGTATTGGGACTGGAGCTTTTCCCCTCAGATCCTTCCATTGTGAGGGAGATGCTTGTTCTGGTTTCCCAGTGGGCCTGGCTGGCAGGGGGCCACTGTTGGATGCCTAATTCTGGGTGCAACACAGCCAGCTTGGTCCCTCTAGCACCATCGGGCCCCCCGCAGCTCACAGTCACCAGGGAGATAGTGCTAGATCCCAGGAATCCACAGCGGACAGTGAAGAATGGGGACTTGGTGGACTCCATCTGAATTTGCACCCACACCTCGGGGGTTCCTGTGGGATACAGACATAGGAAGGGCCAAGGGCTGGGTCTCCACCATGTCCCCACCGCCTCTGCTTCTCTCCAGCCCCCACTCACCGGCAGTGATGCAGAGTGTCAGCAGTGCCAAGAGCAGAACCAGGGCTCGGGGCCTGTCCATGGCTCCCCTCTGGCCCAGGCTCTGGGGGCTGTCGTGGTGGGGACTGCACCTGTGTTTCCGCTCTCATTGCAGGAAGCTTTCATGCGTGAGCAGGCCCAGGAGCAGCTGGGCCCGGTGCTCTCTGCAACTCACTCCACTTCCTTCTCTCAGTCTTCCTCAACTGGTGAACACGGGGTGATGGACCCCCTCCCTCAGGCGACTTAAAGTGACAGTGACAAGGTTTTTCCTGTCCCCATGCTGTACTTTAGTGTGAGCAGGCAGGCGGCTCAGGTTCCTTTCCAGCCCTGTCTGTGGGTAATAGCCTGGGCAGACTAGGCCCTGGGGAAGGGTGAGCAGTGGGGTAGGGAAGAACACTGCAGGGAGACATGAAAAGAATCTCCTTCCTCAGGAGGGTGGGGCCCCTGGTTTCTCCTTAGGAAGAAGGCTCTGACTCTGGCCCTCCCCAGCTAAGGGGTAGGGAATGTGAAGGAACTTGAGAAGAAGACCTGTAAGCAAGAAAAGCAGCGAGGGATACCTAAGAGCGGAGCCCAGCTTGACCCATCACTTATCCACCGAGGACACCTAAAGTAGGCTTCCACACTGTCTATGCCAGCCCGCCCATGTTTACATCTCCAGCCCAGACCTCCCTCCCACCTAACATCACAAACATGCCCCAAACTGAACTCTGCTCCACCTGCAGCCTTTGCCCTCCACCACAGCTGATGGCCCCTGTTTTCCAGCTGCTCAGGCCCAAAGCATAATCATCTGTGACCCTCCTCTTTCATCTCCAGCCCATCAGGAAATCTTGAGGGCTTCCCATCATGACCACCTGACCTTTTACCATTTCCTACTGCCACCTCCCTGACATAGGCCATCTCTTTCCACAAAGCGTTGCTCCAAATTGCTTGTTTGTATTCATTTACAGAATGCAAACTGACCAGAATTCTGCTGTATAAGAGTGACAACGATCAGAATGCTTTGCATCCCGTCTTATCTTGTGCTGAACTTGACTCTGGGATGAGAATAGCTTGGTGAGCTCAGGGTTAGAGCCAAGGGGCAGGCAGGTGGGGGGTGGTGTTGAGGACTCTCTTGTCCAGGGTGTGGTGAGAACTCTGAGGTGGCCCTGCCCCAGGGTTGTGGTCACCTTTCTGAGGCCTGGTTTGCCCACAGGATTCAGCATCCTGTGGTGTTAGCCATATACCAATCAGTCTCTTCGGTAAACTGTCACCCCACCCACATCTGAGAGCACAGCTAAGCTAAGCAGGGCCCCAAGACCAATCACTTCACTGATCCCAGCTTAGCATTCTCATGAACGGTTGACCTTCTCCCAGGCCCAATGTCCCAATCTCCAAACCTGACTCAGGTTTGCTCTCACCACTTCCTCCACTATGTTCCCTTGACAGGGAGACCTATGCAGAGCTGACTCACTTCAAGGTGGCCCAGCCACGTGGGTGCAGAGCACTGGAGCACATGGGGCTGCCAGCCTCAGCCGCCCTAGCCTAGAAGATTCTTGTCTCTCACCCACTGAAATCCTCCCCCCTTTGCAAGGCCCAGCTCAAATCCCTCTACTTCCAGGAAGCTGTCCCTGAGAGGACATTTTCTTCTTGGACAACCATCTCACAGATGATGGGCCCTAGCAGTGGTTCTGTCTTTTACTTAACCCCCACACAGTCCTAGTGCATAACGGAGCTCAATACTTGTGGAGCAATGGATTAAAAGCCATGGAAAAGTTACTCACCAACATTTTCCATTTTTTCCCCCCATCTATAAGCCACATTTGTCCCCTCAATAAGCTTTGTATAAGATTCAAACAATATAGAAGACTAGAGAACATCAAACTTCTCCTTCACCAGCCTACTCATTCCCATTCCCCTCATTTTAATTTTCATGAAGTTAAAACTGTTAATCTTTGGGGTAGCCGGTTGGCTCAGGTGGTTAGAGCGCAGGCTTATGACACCACGGTTGCCGGTTTGATTCCCACATGGGCCAGTGAGCTACACCCTCCACAGCTAGATTGAAAACAACTTGACTTGAAGCTGATGGGTCCTGGAAAAACACACTGTGCCCCAATAAAGTTTAAAAAAATAAAGTTAATCTTTTATCATTTCTGGATTTTGTGTACTGCTTAGGAAAGCCAAGTTCTAAAAATAATTTATTTCATCTTTCTGCTTAACTCTGAAAGTTTATTTTTAGCCCATGAAGTTTTTGGGGTTTTTTATTGGGGAATTGGGGAATGGGAACAGCGCTGGGGAACTGGGGGAAGGGGTACAGACAAGTTGCTGTCCTTTTTGTTCTTCAGTCTAGTTGTGGAGGACGTTGCTTCACTGGTCCAAGTTGGCACCATCATTGCGCTCTTCCCGGGCGAGGCACATCAGTCGCCGGCTTCTGGACGGCCGCTCACTGCGGATGCTGGCTGCTGGCTACACACGGTAGCCCATGGCAACCCACTGCTGCAGGGGCTGTAGCCTACGCCGTCGCTGGCGACTCACAGCAGCCCAGCTCCAGGTTGAGCTGTTGTTCAGCATCTTAGCTGTGGAGGGCAGTGTCACTGGCCCTCATATGTGGGATCCAAACCGGGGACCTCTGGCGTCCCAAGCCAGTTCTTAACCATCGCGCCACTCGGCTGGCCCTATCCCATGAAGTTTTAACTTGGGAATGGTGTAAAATATAACATTTAGGTAGAGAGACAGAAGTCTGCAAACCATTTATTTGAAGTCTCTTTCCTTACTGTTTTGAAATGCCATTTTGATCATAAATTCTTATGAATGGGTCTACTTCTGGATTCTCTTTCCTAATCTATTTTTTTCCCACTTATTCCTATTCCACTACCACATGGCTTTGAAGTAGAATGTTTTCATGTTTTCATACATGTGAGGGCCCTTGTCCTCTCTCAGAAATTTCTTGGCTAGTCCTGAACAGTCTCCATAGTTTCGAGTTCAAGAGACACAAAAGGTCATTAAACCCAGCAACATAAGCTCTGAATCATCAGGCCTGTGTTGTTGGCCTCATTCCTCTTTGACCTGGAGGTGCAGGTTAGGTGACAGGTCTGGTAGTAGCCTTTTTCTGCTCTGACATTTCTTGGTGAAATCCGTGCAGCCCCAGCCCAGGTCCAGCTGCAGTGAAAACAGCCCTTGTGGACAGTCTCTAGAATGAGGCCCAAGAGGGTTTGAACTGGTGCCACAATTTCCTAGCTCTGCAAGCTTAGACAAAGCTATGTAACCTCCCAGAGCAGCACCATCCCCACAGGAATTATCCTCTGCTTCAGTGTAACTGAGAGTACATAAATCAGTGCAGGTTTGGCACTCTGCTCATGCCTGGCTCGAGCCCTACGCAAGTGTTAGTGATTGTAAGGCATTCCTCACCTGAGTTTGTACAGTGAGACTCATAACTGCTCTATTTATTTTTACATATATTTTAAATGTTATAAAAAAGGTCACTTATGTTCCTGCGTCAAAGTAAACAAACAGTAAGAGGTAACATCTCAGTGTATACTATGTGCTAAATTTGTTGTGAGCGATTCACATATATTAGCTCCACACTTACAATCACCTTATGAGGAAATAACTTGACCAGGGTCATGAGGCTAGTATACAGTGAAGCTAGGATTTAAACTCTGACAAAAATTTTAGCTCCAGAACCCTCACTATTAACAACTATGCTAAACTGCCTCTCCCACACATAGTTTAAATTTTCAATTGAATTACAAAGTGTTTGTCTAAAAATGGGGAAGGAGGAAGAAATGGGTTTGGCTGAGTGACCATCTCATCACAGGAAGTCATGATTCCTTCTACAGAGACCACTAGCTGAATGGCTGTCTTCAGCCTGGGAGACCACAACCTGAAATTAAATCAGATGCCCAGGACAGAAAAGAACTGGAAATCCTATCTAAAAGAAGAGGCTGAAAGGCTCCTTAAACCACAGAAGAAAATAGTCAAAGTAGAAAGTGACAACAGTGTCTTCATATATTTGATTGCTTGTCAGGGGGGAAAGAGAGAACCGAGGTGCTGTGCTGCTCCAAAAAGCAGAACAAGAATATACAAGTCAGAGCTTCAAGGAGACTGGATTCCAGAGGCTATTTTGTGGCAGTCTAGGTGAGAGATGATGGCAGCAATGAGAGAAGAGACAGATCAGACAGATATTTTGGAGAACAACTTGACAGGACTTGGTGAGAACTAGTGCGGGAAGGTAAGGATAATGGAGAAGGTGATGTCAAAAATTTGGATTTTAGGGTTAGACATTCCTCCTGGCTCTCACATATTAAGATTCTATAAAATTTCAAATTATGACAGGTGTTTTTGGGATGAGGGCACGAAATTACCCCTGGAAAGAACCCTTGGATGAAAGCTGCCAAGATTTCTGCCAAGATTGTGGACTGGCCTGGCCCCAGTATAGGTGAGACAGGCAGGTTCACCCTCCAAGTGATGAGGACATTATCTTCGTTCTTCAGCCTAATCTGTACTCACTAGATAAATTACTGGAAGGCAAGTAGGGTCTCTCCCTAACTCCTCTGCCCCACCCAATCTCTCGTTACTAAGCAACAGGTCCTTAAGAGCCAATGTACTAACATCTGGGGTATATGCAGCGCTGCACTTGCACACTGGGCCATGGGGCTGGGCAGGGCCGCCTAAGACACCAGCAAAGACCTAACTTCCATCAGTTTAACAATCTCAAGCCACACTCTGGGAATAGCTGATTCAAACATATTTATTGACCTAACACTAGGACATAAAGAAGATGGGAAAGATGTTCCCAAAATACAGGAGAAATATTAGGCTCTTTCCATTAAACATAGGGAGGCAGTGACCCTCTCAAATAGTGAAGTGAAGCCCCCACCCCTCCAACACAGCAGGAAATAGGCACTCTGCTCAAACACAGAGGGACAGAGCCATAGTGCATTAGGAAGGACAGGGCTTAAGGCTTCTATATCTTAACAAAATCAGAGAAAGGTTAGGTTAGAAAGGCAAAGCCCACCTCTCCTTCCCCTCAGAGACCAGGGGTGGGGCCTCAAGTAATGGTTCCTTTTGTTCCCTTCTCCTGTTTGCCTTTTCCAAGTGGTCATGTCTTTGAGGTGGAGGGTGTGATGGGGAGGGGCGCAGAGTCCTGTCAGAAATCCTGTAGCAAGAAAGATGAAAGGCAAACACAGAGTTATAATGTCAGGCCACAGGGCAAAGAGATGACTGCAAGGTCCTCCAGATGACTATTCTAATTTCCCTCCTGCCCTCTTCCCAGGGCTTCTCCTAAAGCTCTGGACACAGCTGAGCACACAGGCCATGGGCTGTGGCCTTTCTTTCCACCTATTTGACAGATACATGGGTTACCTGCCTGAATCTCCCAAGGACACACAACTCCTCTTCNGGCCCTGCTGGGAGCTAGGCTGAGGGCTAGGGATCCCTCAGAGCTCCCTGCCTTGTCCCATGAGCATTCCCTTCCCAGAGAATAGAGCCCCTTCAAAGCCTCATGAAACCCCGCAAGCCCCATTGCCCCCATACCCATTCCTGGTGTTGCCATGGTCCCAAGGCTGCTGGGCCCTGAGCTACACCCTCCCTCACATCTCCCTGACCCTCCTCAGGAACCTCTGCAGCACCCCCTTTTCTTTCCCTTCAGCCTCCAGCCTGCAGGGACCACTGAGCTAGGCTAGTTCCAGGGCCTTCTCAGAGGAGGAGGAGGATCATTGGCGGATGGAGGCAGGTCCAATAAGCCCTTCACTTCCCCCTCACCCTGTCTGGTCCACCCTCTTCCCAGAGCAGTGTAGAGCTGGTGGCTGGGTGGGGCTTGGTCCTGGGAAGGCTACTTCCGAAAATGCCTAGAATATTAAGATGGGTTGTTAGAATATTCTGTGGTTGGACACAGCCTCTGGGCAGGCCCTCCCTGAACCAGGCAGAGGCAGAGGGGTGTGGTTCCTGGTTTGGCAGCTGGCACTGCCTGGGATTTCCAACATGCAGGACTAAGAA